ATACTTTTACAAAAATATAAGTATATTAATTAGAAATATATATCTGATCTTATATATTTATATTTTTGTAAAAGTATATTAATATATATTAAGTTATATTTATCAAATTATTAGTTTATTTATAAATATAGTAAAAATATTATTGATATTAATTTATCAGTAATATTAAAATATTAATAATATATAAATTTTATTTATTTAGTAATAATAAATATATATCATTTGATACATTAACAAAAATTATAATATACATTAACTTGAATAGATAAATAAGTGTATAATTTTAAAACATTGTATATATATATATTAAAATTATTAAATTTTTAATGAGAGACTAAAATCGCACAATTATAATATTTGAAGGACTAAAATTGTTCAATTAAAAATTGAAGGACCAAAATGAAGTTAGCAGAAAAACACATAGAAGGGGGGGTTGAATATGTGTTTGTGTGAACAAAGGTATTTTAAAACTTTTCACAAAAAGACTTTCTTTCGTCCTATAAAATGATGTTGGTGAATACTGGACATGAACTACCCAGGATAGGTTTAACAAAACATTTTATGTCAGGGAATTTCATCGTCTTCTCAAAAAAAAATTTCTGAAAAGAAAACCGTTAATAATCAATTTGACAAGTGTGATTTCGTCTGAATATAGTTTAAATAGACGATAGGCATTGGACAAAGTTTTCGATAAATCAACCAAATAAAATGTGTCTAAATCATTTCAATCGTAGAGAATGTTCTTATACTGGTTCACTCAAGTTGAGATACGTCCAGTCTCCTTCAATTGAAGGGTTTCACTAGATGTTCAATAAGGTACAAGTATTCTTTAATCAGCCTCTTCAGGCTAGCAGTGAATATTATAGACCATCTAGATCATGACCACTCCTGGTCCCAAGTATTATCAACCACTTATGGCTCGTCTGCTTCACTCACAGACGCTAGTATTCTTAAACCACTTCTGGTTACCTGAGTATTCTCAACCATTCCTGGTTTGTCCGCCTCACTCACAGACGCTAGTATTCTTTGCTCAGCCACTTCTGGCTCTTAATGAGTATTCTCGACCAACTTCTAGCCCACTAGCTTCACTCACCAGCACTAGTATTCTTTGCTCAGCCACTTCTAGCTCTTTGTGAGTATTCTCGACCAACTCTTGGCCCGCTAGCTTCACTCACCAGTGGTAGTATTCTTTGCTCAGCCACTTCTGGCTCTTAGTGAGTATTTTTCTAATCATTTATGAACCAAATTTAAATTCTTATTAAAAAGGATAATTGCACTACGATGAAAGAAAATAAATTACGAGAAAAAATACACAATAAGTAGATATTAAAAATAAAATAAAGCAATAGTAAATACAAAAATATTATACGAAATTAATTTTCATCACTATTATTTTCGAAACGTTCCCAAATATGCTCAATAAGATCTGCTTGAAATCTGACAAGGAACGGTTGCTTGAAGAAACAACTCTCTCTCTTCTTTAAGCAACTCATGTTACCACGTCAGAATCCTCCAATGGCAAGAAACCGGGACTTGAGTTGCTTCATGGAACAAGCAACTCCCATTGGAATTTCTCTAAAAGATTCAATATCTTTTAAAATCTAAATAATATTTTAGAGATTTGAATTTAAAAATTTGAATTGTTTTCCCAACAATTCTTCCCTCAATTAAAATTTTCAAATTTGACTTTGTCGCCATAGATGTTTGTCACAATCATCTTCAATCATACTTTTACTCTATAGTATTCCTTGTCTCCATTTCTTGAGTATTAAAATCGTTGGATATCAATCTTTAATACTTAAGAGACAGGTTACGAGGACCAACCAGTTTATCCACCTCTAGTCATAGAAATGACAAAATGCTCTGTCTATGTGTACATGAAAAAAATGTCTTTATTAATAGTATAATATAAATTACAAATTTTGTTTTTGATTTTTGATGGGCCCGTTTCAAAAAAATTGTGTTGGTCCACCACAAGCACAAATGACAAAACGGATCGGATCTAAACAGCAGAGAACTTGTTAAAAAAAAAAACGAAACACAAGAGAACAAAGCATAAAAAAAGACACAAAAAATGGAGTGGAAGAAAATAAAAATATTAGAAAATTTTACTACTTGTTTGACACGTAAAACAAGAAGGAAAGTTATTTACATGCTATATCTTTCCCTCAAATTAGAGTGATACACGATGAGTAAATTTTTTTAAATAAAGTTGTATAATAAAATAAATATCAATTGTTTATTAAAATAAATATAAATAAATATATTTTGCATGTCTTTTTATTATTAAATATTATGCCATTTAAATAATAAATGTTATGTTAAAATTGTTTAGCAATTAAGTGTTATTATTAGAGTTAAGGATATATGGTTTAATATTAAATTTCAACATTATGATTTTTTAAATGGAAAAATGTAATTCAAAAAAATCTTATTAAAAATAATTAACCAATTTTTTTTATAAATATTAAATTTTAACAAAATTAATAAATATTTTATATTAATAAAATAATTATAAAAAAATTAAATAATAAAATGTCATATTAAAATTTGACGGTCAACAAATATTAAATTAACAATAAAATTAAAAATTTTCATTTTTAAATTAAAAAATTAAATATATTTATTTTTATATAAAAGACTAAAATTGTAAATTAATAAAAATAAGATTAAAAATAAAATTTAACCTAACTAATCATATACCAACATGTTATCTCAGTAAAAGTGAAACATAAGTTAAATCTTTAAGTAAAGGTTTTTCTTAAGGGTAAGACCACTCTCAAGCAAATCTTTAATAAAAATGAAACATTAACGAACTTGATAAATATTTTGTAACTATAATTTGATTAAAAGAAATAATAATAGTACATTCAAAATAATTAATAGACATTTCATAGATTTTTTGATAATTTTTTTTCTAAATACTAACACAAATGCCAATTATTTAAGCTATTAGGATCATAAAGAGGTTGAATGGTACACACATAATCTTGTAATTAAACTTGATCCTATGAATTAATCTTTAATTATCAATTTAAAAATATTGTTAAATTAAATTTATGAAGAAAAAAAAAACTTGGATGCTGTGATAATTAAAAAAAAAGGTAGCAACTGTGCTTTGTTGGCTTCGAGATTTTGGATAAGGAATTAAGAAAGAAAATAATTTTCCGAAGCAATCTGAATCTCATCTCATCTTCCATTTCCATCATCTTCAATTTCTTCGCCAACGAACCCTAACCATGTCCGGTGTGGGCCCTATTTCTCAGGATTGGGAACCCGTCGTCCTCCGCAAGAAACCTCCCACCGCCGCCGCCAAGAAGGACGAGAAAGCCGTCAACGCCGCCCGCCGCTCCGGCGCCGAAATCGAAACCCTCAAAAAATGTCCGTTCCCAAAACCTTCAACCATCAAATAGATTATGTTGTTCATCGCGTGTTAATTATTTCGCTAATCTGTATTTCCTCTAACGAATTCATCAATTTGTTGTCCTTGTCCGCATCTTTTAAATCTCGGATCTGAACGTGTTTTCTTGTGATTATTGCAGCTCGCTTTGATGATTTGGTGTTGAGGCAGCAGATTTAATTTGCAAATTAAATCTTTTAAAGGGTTAGGAAAAAAATTGAATTTGATAATTGTTTAGTTTGGAAAAAAAAAAGGGGGTTCTTAAAACAAGAGCTAAATGATTTCTCATAGAGTGGTTACGGATGTGTTTTTTTGTGCGTGCTTGTTTTTATCTTTATTTGTTGATAAGCTTTATTCTTTGGGTGGTTTTTCAGTGGTGATTGTTCAATTGTTGGTGTGACAGATAATGCTGGGACAAATAAAGCAGCCTCTAGCAGCACTTCCTTGAACACTAAGAGGCTGGACGAGGATACAGAGAATCTAGCTCGTGAGTATTACACCATATAGATAGAGAACTAGTTTATTTTTTTCACGTTTTCTACCATTGAAAGAACCTGAGTGTTAGGTGCATATGCTTTTTAAAGGATTAAATGAGTTTTAGTCTTTTAACTTTTGTCAATTTTTTTTAGTCCCTGCAAATTTTTTATATGAACAAAAAAATTTGATGTCATAGGCCAAAATGTTAACGGGAGAAAAATTCAAGGACTAAAAAGTGAAAATCCACAAAAGTTCGAAAATTAAAATTAACAAAATTTTGTACAGGGACTAAAAACAAAAGTCGACAAAAGTTCATGGACTAAAAACATAGATGAATTATGTATTGTCTTTGGACTTTTACTAAATTATGGAGGTTCTATCGTTTTTGTGATTAGTAATAATCTAATGGATAGATTGAAGCATTTGAATTGAGCTGGAGGTACGACTGTCTCACCATCATGATAACTAAAAATGTACTACCTCCATCCCAATATATAATGCCCTTTTTACTTTTTTGCCTGTCCCTTTTTGTAAGACCCTTTTCTAATTGTCACTTGTATTAATATATCTTCTTTAAAATATCCTTATTTAATTAACAATTTTTTGAAACAAAAGATTATAAATATTTGAAATTAATTGGATAGAAATTCTCTCGAATTAGGATTGGAGAAGATAAATAAACACATAGATATCTCTCTCTTCCAATGTTAATTAATTAGGTGAGAAATGATTAAATAGAAAGAGTGAATGTTACTTTTGGAAAAGTAGTTTAAATTATTGACAAATTTAATGCTCTTAACTATATTAACTAATTTTCTTAAAGGGTATAATTTAGTTGAAAGATAATTAGGGACAAAGGTAGTATTTACAAGTTTCAACTGTTAGCTTTTGGAGTTTTATGACAAAATGCTTGGTGGTGTTAATTATTATAGATGTTATATAGAATCATTCATGCATCTTCACAAAACAACTTACCATTTTGGGGTAATTGGTTTTTGACATGGTATGTATCAAAACCTCTATGACCAAGTGATCTAGAGTTTGATTCTTGCTGTTCTCATTCTTCTAATAAAAAGTTGAATTTCTGCTCAAGGTAAGGGAGCTGATCATGAATCATGTTTAAAACTCGGATCTTTCGTGAGGGTGTGTTATAGATATGATAGCAAATCATTAATGTATATTCACCTAATAGCTATAAAACATTTATATAATTCACCTAATAGCTTAAGCTTTTGAGATAGTTCATGACATTATTAAATATCGAGTTTTAACATAATCGCTAGGAAATTCATAATCTTTTGGTAGGTTTTAGTTTTATTTTCTTGTTTGATTTAGTCACTAAAATTTAAGTTATGGAAATCGATGTTAGTTCTTTATCCTAAGCACAAATAAGAAAATGTATGTGTAACATGTTAGAGAAATGATGACGTAGATAACTAGATTCAAATATGAGGAGAAAATTTATGATACTAACCCCCTCCCCTTGTCCCCCAAACAAAATATAGATTTTTTTGAAAAGGGATTCACCCCTTTATTGCACTGTATACCGCTTTTAAGTTGAATGATACTAGTTTTTCAAAATTTACCATTATAATTTGAGTTGTGCATGCATTATGTTTCTCATCATTCACTTGATATGCTCCTATATGTATTTTGAGTAGATGAATCTTTTTCTTTTCTTTTGCTTCTGCTTGATAAGATGTGGGACTGCTCTGGGTCACAGGTCATTAATTATGTATAGGTTTTTGATAATAAAAAAAAAATCCCTGGGCTTTGATGAGCATACACATGGTTGGGCCTGGTACTCTCTTGGTTTTCATTTGTTTCTGATTTTGCATTCAATAGTATCATACTCTGTTTAATAGATGGGAGAATTATGGCAAGCAGTAGCACTATTGTTATTCCAGTTTTAGATTTCTTAAACCAAAATTAAAGCATCTGATGCATTTTCTGTCTCATCTTGAGGATATTGTTTTTAACTTTTACTATTAAATATTCTTTAATGGCATCTCTTCCTACCTTGGTGCACATATGATGTGACTGGACTTTTGTGTGCAGATGAGAAGGTACCGACTGAACTTAAGAAGGCTGTAATGCAAGCTAGGATGGACAAGAAACTCACTCAGGCTCAGCTTGCTCAAGTATTGCTCTACCCCTAGCAGAAACAAAATTGAATATATTATTGAGCTCATTATTTTCAAATTATTACTTAGGCATTATGAATGATGTGCATTGTTACTTGCAGCTGATCAACGAGAAGCCTCAAGTGATCCAGGAGTATGAGTCAGGGAAGGCCATTCCAAACCAGCAGATAATTGGCAAGTTGGAAAGAGCCTTAGGGGCTAAACTGCGTGGCAAGAAATAAGGAACCTAATGTCATGGTTGTGCTTGTAGTTTGGTTTGCATGATATGGGAGTGGATTGTGTTTGCTCGTTAAATGTGTATATGTAAGACAGATAAATGGTTGTGAGGATCTGTGGCTTTCACTTGTTCGAATAAATAAAATTGCATTTTCATTATAAATCCTACTTTTTTTTTTTTGTTTAGGGTTTAGGGTATGATGAAAACAAAGTTTGAATTTATGTATATCATTTTGGTCCTGCCAATGGTGGTTCTCATTATAAATCCTACTTCTACTGGCAATTGTGGGTTTTTTTTTTTTTTTTTTTTCAATCATGAAATCAAACACCACATATTAATAATCATGCAATAAATGCATCTCATGACAGATATCAATGCATATCAATCATCTAATGCGTCGTCACGCATACACCTAAAAGATCTCCGTAACAATAAAGTTATATAAGTGACGCTAGTATTCTTTACTCAACCACTTCTGACTCTTAGTGAGTATTCTTTGACAAGCCTCTCCAGGCTTTACAAGTATTCTTTTCCTAACCTCTTCAGGCTTTACAATGTTGACTAAGCAAGTTTGGTTTGAGTGTATGGGTTACTCTCATAGAGAGGATACATAGGTTTCTACACTCACTAAGGTATTTAGCCTTAGTCTTTGCAACTAATGAGTGTTTAGCTTACTCTCATGGAGAGGATGTAGATGTTGGTACACTCACTAAGGTTCTGTTCCTAAAGTATACATGTTTGGAACCCTTTAGTCTACAGAGATGAATATCCTATGATACATTTGACTCTACAAACTCTATCTTTGATTTCGTTACTTCATGGGCTGGATATCACGCTTCTTCTTGCTTGAACCATTTCGAGCAAAGACAGCCATTCTTTTAGGTTCGACGTTGTGATCTATTTATAGTCTTGTGAGATCTGCCTGTTGCAAGTGTCCGTTGAAGCAGTTGTAGTTGGTTTGATCTTCTCATTTAATACTCAAGTTCTTTGCATTAAATGTTGCTTCCTGTGATAGACCTTGCGTGAAGTATTCTTTGTCTTGATAGTAGTAGTGTCTAAGTTTAGCAGAGACCTAGGAACCTTTTTGTCATTTTCTGGTCACATAGCTGTAGAATTTTTTCTTTGTCTGAAAAAGTGATGTACTTATTCTGACACATGCATGCTTTTACTTCTGCGCTTGACTTTCTCCTTTCTTCTTTTCTTCTCACAATCTTGATGACTTTGTGTATTCTCCTGTGAGTGTGGACGATATTCAAATTTTCCTTTGAAGCTTGATTCTTTAGGTGATTGCATGAAAGCTTTCGTCTATGTCTGGTAGTCTATGTGTAGCTCAAGACTTGACCTTTGTCTGAGCATTTGTTATTAATGCATTGACTTTTCCTTTTGTCTGGTCAACTAGTATATGGTCAGACTTTCAATGCTTATCAATTTGTGTTGTCCTTCACTTGATATGTTGTTGACTTTCTTCTATTTTTTGACTATCCTTCGTCTGCGTCTTTATATTGCATTTTATATGGTCTGATGCATATGTTTGTTCTTCAATTTGCCTGTACTTTTGTTCTTTTGAAACACTAACATAGGCATGACAATCTAACCCGCCCCTGTGGGTACCCGCTCGAACCCACCTGATTTGGACGGGGAAAACTGTGTTTATCGGGTTCGGGTTCGGGTTCGTGTTCAGGTTTTTCCCGATTGATAAAATCAGGGGCGCGGGCGAGGACGGGAATGTTAATACCCACCCCGCCCTGCTTAATAATATAATTAAAAAATTATTTATATATATAAACCAAAATTAAAAATATTTATATGTAAAAATTTGTATTATTTTATTTTTCTTTTATTTTTTTAAATTTGTTCATATTTATTTAAAGAAAAAAGAATTAAAAAAAGAAATAAAAAAGGTAGGAGCAAGGGTGGGGGCGAGGCGGGGAAACCTGAATCCCACCGGGGACAGGGATGAGTACCCAGATTTTACCTCCGGCGGGTATCGGGGGCGGGGGCAGGGGCGGTTTAAATTTGTGAGGTGGGGCCGAGGGCGGGGAATTGCTTCGTCTGTCTTAACACAAAATCCCATAATTGCAATCCTTTAGAAACTAAAATTACCCAATTAAAATCTTGGGATCAAAATTGCACAATTGTAATACTTGAGAGATAAAAAATGCAATTAAGCCAATAAAATATTAAATAAGTTCTTAAATTTAATTATTTATTATTTTTTAGTCTTTCAATATATATTAATATTTTTATTTTAATTCTTCATTTTTTTAAAATTTATATTCATATTTTTAAAGACTAATTTTATAATTCTTTTAATTTCATATAATAATACTTTACAAATTCTGGAATAAAAAATGAATGTTTACTCTTTAATTTTTATTTCTGCATATCTTTTTGATATTTTTTTTGTCATTGTCGTCGTGAGTCAATTCAAGTGTTGCTAACATATCATTATTATTTTAATTCTTTGGTTGATTTCTTTTTCATATCTTCTTTTAACGCTTCTTGGAGAACCTGCATTCGAAGAGACTTTATGTCTCTTAATTATTTTAAAATAAAAAAATAAAAAATAATGAAGTGAATAATGAGTAGTTATGAAAAAATGGGAGAGGGAGAGAATTATTAATTTGTTGGAGTTTTTAAAAATAAAAATAAATTAAAGAAGAAATAATGAAGTAGATAGTTATTAAAAGGGTGTGAGGAGATTATTAATCGTGTGAGAAAATAAATCAACGGTTTAATGACCCGGCTAAAAATGAAAATAAAAAATAATTATAAAGAGAGTTATCTCCTTAAATCTTTTCTTAAACAGGAATATAAAGATATATAGTAATTTTTAGTTTTTAATTGACTATTATATTTTTAAATGTTAAAAAAAATGTGCTCATTTATTTTTTGAATAATTATCTAATATTTTCTATCTCTATAATTATTAGAGACACGATCACACCAAAATACCTTGCTTCGTGCAATAAATATTAATATAAATTTAATTTTTTTTTGAAAATAATGATTCATTACATAAAAAAATAAAGAAATCATATTATTTGAAAAACAAACTCAAAATTCCATATATTAAACTTTAAAAATGTAAAAAATAAATCTTAAAAAAGATATATCCTATATTTATGAATTTTTGTTGATTTTTTTATTATATTATCTAAAACTAAGGTATTTAATGTTACATTTAGACACCTCCTTAAACATGTGATAAGGATTTTATTTTGCTATCTGGTAATGATATAATAAGGAATTTGATCTAAAAAGTATTTTTAATGTTAAAAACTATCAAAAAATTATATAAAAAATATACAATTTTAACTTAATTATACAAAACATATTTTTCTTTATGTAGATACTGTTCTTAAAATTATATAAAATATATAAGCGTTTATTAAACATTTTTAAGAAAAATATTTGAATAATAATTATTTATTTTAATATTTTAATTTAATACATATATTATTTATTATATATGTTGTTATTTTGCATATATACACACACATATGAGCGAGATATATATGAGAATAACCTTTTTGAGTGATACGATACAAAACGAACCCGGTTTTATAATAAACCCGGTTATAGCTGCATGCTTCACCGGTTATTGTACCCTTGAAGTGTGCAACACAAAGAGCGAAGAAGAAGTTAAACGATGTCGTTTGAGAGGAAATTTACATTCTCAATCCAGAAATCTCGTGAAGGCACATTTTACATTCAATAATTTATTTATTTTTCACTGAATTTATTTATTCTTATCAATTTTCCACTCTTGGTCTACATTAGCCATTCTGAGTTTAATGATTTTATGAGTTTTTGGCATGCCAAGTGTTTAGCCACTGAATTTTAGTATTTTCGATGAATATTTATATATCTGAATTTCTAAACAAGCACAGAAATTGCTTAGTTTGGTTTAATGTTTAATGTTAACAAAAATATGCGAAAATTTGAGTCATGTGTGATTGTTGTTCATTACCCTTGTTCTAAATCATGTTGATCATATTCAGGACTTGAGTTTATTCCGTTTATTATGAGATTATGTCAGCCTTTTTTCATGTGGCATCTGTTTTTTTAAATGCATTTAGAATTCTAAATAATTTGGTTAAGAGATACAGGTCGTTACCACTAATGTATACTAGATACGTATTTTCTCTAGTTATAATGAATATTTATCCTGTGTAATTACTTTTTGAGTGGATTCAAGTATATAATCTGATTATCTGGGTTTCTCTCTGTTTAAATAGGGGAACCGGAAAGAAGTGTACTTTTCTTTCCCTTTCTTTCTTCGGTTTGTCTTGCCCTTTCATGTGAACTGTTAAGTGATATAACCTGTTTCACAATTTCTCACTTGGACAGTGAGAATGATATATTATCTGAATTGGTTTATATGTTATACATATGTTGTATTATCTGAATTGGTTTATATATCTCTTATGTATGACATGATAACCTGAATTGGTTCCTGAATATGTTATCTCTATAATATATTTTTCCCTTTAGTTCTCTAATAAGTGGTTCCAGTTTGGTTTGGTTAAAATGAAATATCATATTCGAACCAAACTGACCTTTGTAGTTTGGTTTGGATTGGTTATCTCGGTGTTTTGAATTTTTAAATATATTTTATATGACTTTTAAATTTTTAAATAACTAAGGTAATAAATTGACACAATGCTGAATCTAATAAACACATGAAAGTTTTGATTAGTTTTTGAAAATGACATTTACTAAAGGAGCAATTTGGGTTAAGAAAATAATTTGATTTTACATGAGTATAACAGGAAAGGCAATGTAAGTATATTAAATGCATGCTTCAGTTCGGTTTGGTTCTCTGGATTATCAGTTTGATCAATTGTTGGTTTTCAGTTTGGTTCAGTTTAACCTCTCTAGTTTTGAGGAGGCAAACTGGCGAAGTTACACTACTTTGAAGGCTTGGCTATTGAGCAAATGTGCTTTGACAATAATATTAACCAGCCAGTCACTGAGAAGTGGGTACTTCTTCCCTAATGTTAGTGGTATGTGATAAAATGTGTTATCACTGTCATTTGAAGATGAAGTGTCCATGCTAACTAGGTTTCATCTTATCATTCAATGACCACTCTGCTTTTCTTTAGCCTTTTTCCACTACTTATCTCTTGTTTTGTTTTGCTCATCCCCACTTTTACTCACCAATACATCTTATTCTCTAAAATCTAAATCTGAGTAAACCACCATTTTATTTCTGAAACTGTACCTACTGTTACATTAGTTTCTAAAACTAAAAGAAAATTCAAATATGTCCCTGAATTTTCAGTTGTTTCATCTAAGAACTTAAATTTAACCGCTTGTCCCTAACCATATGTTAATATTAAGTCACAGTTTTTTAGATTTTAGACTAATGTGATTGATGGATTGCACTTTTAGATAATTATTTGAAATGTTCTTAGTTTTAGGAGCTAAGTAATACACTTTGAAGGACTAAAATAGTGGTTTACTTTCTGAATCTTTATATGCAATTAAGTACATTATCAGATTTTGGAGTATCCAGACCCGTGATCTCTCATCATCCCTATAATTATTCTTGCCATAAGCAGCACATAGCACTGTTTGAAGCAATTTTAGTGTAAAATTTGTCGGAGGGATGTTAATTCCGCTATTGGAGTTGAAAATTCTATCTAAGTTCTTTTTCTGACAATATCATTCATTTTTAGCTTTAGGTTGTTAACTTCCAAAGTACAATCGAGGTGTTAGCTGTCCCTGAAGAATTCTGATTATGACGTGTCCTCTGATGTACATATACTTCAAAAAATTTACATATCCGTATTTGTATCACACTTGTGTTGGACACCAATATGTGTGAAAAGTGGCTGACTAAGCTGCGTATGCATTAAAACTAGATGGTTTTGATTTTCAAACTTCTTATGTACATAATTTGTTTTGACAGTGAAACAATTGTTGTCATAACTTAAATATAAATATAATATTTTTATTTAAATATAGCTATGATTATGTCTTTAATAAATTTTATAAGAAATCAAAGACCAATGATGATAGAATGGAGATTGCCCATCAATATAATTATCATCTTGATTAAGAAAAAATAAAGAAATTAGAAAATAAAAATGTATATGTAAATAAAATTAAATATAAACTATATACAAATATAATTTTCAGAGGAACCTATGAAGGCACTCATGTTGCTGACATAGGCATTGTACTCTGTACAAATATTTTGAAACCTTATTTTGTCACATACCACTAAGTTGAAAAAGAAAATATTGTTTTAGAAGCTAAATACGAATTAGTAGCTAAAGGAGAGTTATTTAGAATTGTAGTAAAAGGGTATTTGCTTTAATACATAGAGTGCATAACTCAAGAGCTGGTTCCATTACCAAATTTTAATGGTTTTGGTTGAATAAGGAGTCAGTGGACTGAGAAGTGGTCCTGAAGAGGGGAGGGAGTGTTTTGGGAACATGATTTGAAAAGGGAGAATAAGAGATAGGAATTGGCTGTCCAACATTGAAGGATTCATAGGATTCTTGTGTTAGTAAATTGGAAAATGTTATGCTATTGATATTTTCTACATACCAGTCATCTTAGAAGACCAGCAGTTCCTTTATATATATTATCTGTTACCTTCCTTTCCAAGGCCTTTTAGTTTTCAACCATTAACTGAGTTGGAATAGTAGTAAAATCATTTAGGTTTTTTGTTTTCCTTTTGTGGGGGTAGGAATAACTAAGCTAAAATTCCTTGAAACATACACTGTAACTAACATCTTGTAAACAAACTGCTCTACCAAACTGAGAATTTTACAATTCCCAAAGTTGCAATTCTCAACTATTAATCAGTTTCATCTAAAAACACTACCATTTCTCAAGTCATGAACATCCATACCGAAATTTTGTCACCTATTTCTTTTATTGGCAGTGGCTATTGTCATATTTTGCCAGATTAGATTATGAGGGTCACACTCGTTGAACTTCTAATGTAATGCTTGACTTCCGATATTTTTGTGCTTTATAATTGTTATCTAATGCAATGCCCTTTTAAGATAAGGTCGTTGGGCATTGTTTGGTTGAGTGCATAGATTTACTGATGACCAAAGCTACTTGTGGATCTTATGTTTTCAAAATGTATGCTTGGTCATTAATCAACCTAGCATGATAAGCCCCATCATCTATCACCCCCTTCTATACCATATACACATTTTGCTTATCTACTTTGCTACTGTTACTTTTAAACAAAACTAGAAAAAAATATGTAAGCTAATGAACATTTTGAGTAACACTAAGGCCAATGTAATGGTGAAGAGGGAAGTATGTTCAGCTACTCAACAAATTTACCTTCAAAATAAAAAACATTACTGTAACAAAGGGACAAATGGTATTCAGTATTCACTTTACCCACACATGAGAAATGATGGTCACAAAATTGCTCACAAATAATATCAACTCCACCACCATCACACATTTACGTGCTTCCAAGGAAAAGATAAGATAATGAAACTTTGTCCACGTGTCACTTCCACATGGTACCTAACGATAAGGCTTCCATTCAAAATTTTCCTCACTCGTGTGGCCAATATGCTGCAATGTCATCACTTAGACAATCCAACGGTTGCAACTTGTGATCAACCAATCCCCTCTATTACACACCATTCGATTAGAACTACACAAACCACATCCTTATATATAGCAAGTTTGAGCATAAGCATGGCAATCTAGCAGCACAAGCACAAGTAGAACTAAGAAGGAGAAGGAAATGGCCTCCTCAATGATCTCCTCCCCCGCTGTTACCACCGTCAACCGTGCCGGTGCCGGCATGGTTGCTCCATTCACTGGTCTCAAGTCCTTGGCTGGCTTCCCCACCAGGAAGACCAACAATGACATTACCACCATTGCAAACAACGGTGGAAGAGTGCAATGCATGCAGGTAAGACAAGTTATCATATACACACACAAGAGGCACCAAGATGATTAAAATTCATGTTACATCCAAAAGTTTACTCGAATTAACATGTTAGCTACAGGAAAATGTGCCACAACTGCAAGTTTGTTAACCCCTTTACTCAATTTCCATGCAAATTACTAGGTGTGGCCTCCACTTGGCAAGAAGAAGTTCGAGACTCTTTCCTACCTGCCACCCCTCAGTGATGCTGAATTGGGCAAGGAAGTAGACTACCTTCTCAGGAAAGGATGGATTCCTTGCTTGGAATTCGAGTTGGAGGTCAATTTATTGCAAGCCCTTTTACTTCAATTATAGCCTTTTCTACAGTTTATTTTGATACAAGCTTATAAGAGCTTTTGAAAACTTGTGTTATTAAAAACTCATTATTTTCAATGAAGATGTACTTATGAATCTGTATCTAAACAGACTTTCAGTGTGTTTAATTCAACTTATTTCGAAGAAATAATCACTTTTCTAGCAGGTGTGCTAAAAGTACTTAGCAAAACAAAAGGAAAAATGGTTGTTTTCCAAAATTCAAGTTTATCTCATAGATCTTTTTGGTTCTAATACTCTATGAGAGTTATCAATATTTAACGAAATGCTGTTATACCAAAAGAAGGACTTGGTGTTGAGTTTTGATGGTTGATCTGTTTGTTTGTTTATAGCACGGTTGGGTTTACCGTGAGCACCACAAGTCACCTGGATACTATGATGGACGCTACTGGACCATGTGGAAGCTGCCTATGTTTGGCTGCACAGATTCTTCTCAGGTGTTGAAGGAGGTTCAAGAGGCCAAGAAGGAATACCCCAACTCTTTCATCCGTATCATTGGATTCGACAACGTTCGCCAAGTGCAATGCATCTCTTTCATTGCCTACAAGCCACCAGGCGTCTAAGTATGAAAAATTTGCAAACCATTTGTAGCCGCCCTGCTTTGTTTGTTTGTACTTAAACCAAATTCCCATTTGCTTTTGCTTTTGTTTTTGCTTTTTGAGATTTCATCCTGTAATTTGGCTTTCTGTTTTCGGACTTCACTGGAAATGAATGGATGAGAACTAATGAATAAGCTGTGTCGGTGTTGCATTGTTTCCATATAACTTCAAGAACCCATTTACCTTGCATTTCCCTCCAGTGGGTTGAAACCTTTACTAAATTGGAGTTAACAAAGGAACTCAACCTGTGTTACTTAAGTTCACAGCATAGTTGAGCTTGACCTTTACTTTGTTACACATTTGATGTCAATGTCCTTATACTTTGGTTTGGTCCTCCAAGAGATAAAGTTCATGACTTAATTTTTCAGAACATGTTGCCAGGAAGCTACTAAACTTACAAAAGCAAATATGAACCCCATAAATCTTGGAAGCTAAGATATTTGTGTAGTATACAGCAACGACTACTAAATAACTGCCACCAAATCATTTTGTTAATTATGTGCAAAGGAAGAGATGTCAAATTCAAAGCTTTGGTGGTTTCATTTCAGGAACTCTTGTTTCCAAGCAATAACCACCAATTGCCACTAAACCATTTTGTTTGTGCCATTTCTCAATCTACTCACTGCAATTTTCAAATTATAATTTGGATAACAACATTAAAACGCAACCAGATTTGGTCATGCTCTGGTTCTACCAAACAGTACAACTTTTATGCTAGAATTTCCTGAATCTGATCCTTAACTGATAATTAATCTCAAGATGATTCTCTTGCCTATCTTTTGTTTGTAATTTGTCGGTAGTTCTGGATTAGCAATTGATAAATAAATCATTTAGCCGTTCTAAGTTGTGAGTAGTGATAGGTAACTTATATCCAAACCTTTTACGTTGCATTAATATTTAGACAGGACCATTTTGATAGCTACATTTGTGAACAAGGTTACTTTAAGATAAAGAAATAGATAAGAAGTTTCACCTCCTTTGTTCCCATGAACACATCATGACATATTCAAAGTATATAGTGAATATACAAATTATAGGATTTTTTTGTCTTTCAAATATTTATTTGTGGATAAGAATCTATTTATTCCAGAATGTTTCAACAAATTTACTTTGTTCAACAACTTTCTTGTGAGCATTAAATCTTCATCAATCTAATTGGTAAATTAAAAATTTCACCAAAAAATATTAAGTAAGCAAAATTTCATACAATTTAATGTATGTTTGATTTGTAGGTATCATGACTTTCAATGCACTCAAACCGAAAAAGCATATGTCTTAGTAGATTGACTCATACCAATATTTGGGCATTTTCTATGTCTAAACAACTAAAGGACGGTATAAGTCATTTGTGAAACAATTAATAATTTGATTAATTATTTAAATCACTAGGATCGATCTATTAGTGAAAGTTAGAATAATATTTACAAAGTCTTTTTGAACATTGTTATCTTTGTCTCAATCTTTCTTAGAAATAAAAAGAAATAAACTTCATTTCAATTAATATTATACTTTTTAAAAATAGAAGTAAATGTTAACTTTAAGGTAAGCACAAATAATATTAAATCGTTTAATAATCTAATATTTTAAATTCCTATTTTATAATTCCATTTCATTTAGTAAGAGTCAATAATTCCATTTCATTTATTTGATTGGTCATATATCACCTACCATGAAGGGGAAAATCCACAATATAATTTGTATATGGAAAATGAATATTCAATTAATGTATTAAAATTTGAAGCGAGCAATTCGTTGATAACCTTATTTTCTTGGAGGCTTTTCAATATTTTTCTTACCAAAAATAAAAGTTTTAAATCGTCTTATTTGTTTTAGTTTTTCTTTGACATAAAACTAAGTAATATATTTTCAAAAGTTTTCTAAGAAGTTTTATAAAGTTATCTAGATTTTTGTAGAGAAAGGAAACTTTAAAATTGATATTTTGATAAAAATAAATTTTATATAATTGTGTCGTTTATATTATTTTTTTATTATCATGTTATTGAGACTAGGGATGACAATGGGCCCCATGGGGGCGGGTAATAGTAAACCCGCCCCTGCCCCGCTAAATGAAAATTGGCCCCATACCCACCCCATATCCGTG